AGTATATACAGTTGTAAACCAATATTAGGGAGACCAGACAGTATATACAGTTGTAAACCAGCATTAGGGAGACCAGACAGTATATACAGTTGTAAACCAGCATTAGGGAGACCAGACAGTATATACAGTTGTAAACCAATATTAGGGAGACCAGACAGTATATACAGTTGTAAACCAATATTAGGGAGACCAGACAGTATATACAGTTGTAAACCAGCATTAGGGAGACCAGACAGTATATACAGTTGTAAACCAGCATTAGGGAGACCAGACAGTATATACAGTTGTAAACCAATATTAGGGAGACCAGACAGTATATACAGTTGTAAACCAGCATTAGGGAGACCAGACAGTATATACAGTTGTAAACCAGCATTTAGGGAGACCAGACAGTATATACAGTTGTAAACCAGCATTAGGGGAGACCAGACAGTATATACAGTTGTAAACCAGCATTAGGGAGACCAGACAGTATATATAGTTGTAAACCAGCATTAGGGAGACCAGACAGTATATACAGTTGTAAACCACTATTAGGGAGACCAGACAGTATATATAGTTGTAAACCAGCATTAGGGAGACCAGACAGTATATATAGTTGTAAACCAGCATTAGGGAGACCAGACAGTATATATAGTTGTAAACCAGCATTAGGGAGACCAGACAGTATATACAGTTGTAAACCAGCATTAGGGAGACCAGACAGTATATACAGTTGTAAACCAGCATTAGGGAGACCAGACAGTATATACAGTTGTAAACCAATATTAGGGAGACCAGACAGTATATATAGTTGTAAACCAGCATTAGGGAGACCAGACAGTATATATAGTTGTAAACCAATATTAGGGAGACCAGACAGTATATATAGTTGTAAACCAGCATTAGGGAGACCAGACAGTATATATAGTTGTAGTTGTAAACCAGCATTAGGAGACCAGACAGTATATATAGTTGTAAACCAGCATTAGGGAGACCAGACAGTATATATAGTTGTAAACCAGTATTAGGGAGAGACCAGACAGTATATATACAGTTGTAAACCAGCATTAGGGAGACCAGACAGTATATACAGTTGTAAACCAGTATATACAGTTGGGAGACCAGACAGTATATATAGTTGTAAACCAGCATTAGGAGACCAGACAGTATATACAGTTGTAAACCAGCATTAGGGAGACCAGACAGTATATACAGTTGTAAACCAGCATTAGGGAGACCAGACAGTACATACAGTTGTAAACCAGCATTAGGGAGACCAGACAGTATATACAGTTGTAAACCACTATTAGGGAGACCAGACAGTATATATAGTTGTAAACCAATATTAGGGAGACCAGACAGTATATACAGTTGTAAACCAGCATTAGGGAGACCAGACAGTATATACAGTTGTAAACCAGCATTAGGGAGACCAGACAGTATATATAGTTGTAAACCACCATTTGGTAGACCAGACAGTATATATAGCTGTAAACCAGGGTTAGGAGACCAGACAGTATGTACAGTTGTAAACCAGCTTTAGGGAGACCAGACAGTATATACAGTTGTAAACCAGCATTAGGGAGACCAGACAGTATGTATCGTTGTAAACCAGCATTAGGTCGACCAGACAGTATATATATAGTTGTAAACCAGTATAAGGGAGACCAGACAGTATGTATAGTAGTAAACTAGCATTTAGGAGACATTGCATTCGAGATAAGCGACTTCACCAAAGACATCTGCTGCTGCAATAAATTGGCAATTCAGTCAAGTCTTACGGATGCAGGGTGGTAGTGATGGATATGGGGCATCTGTTTGAGTAAGCCAATCTGAGCTTAGGTTCTGGGAGGGTGACACGGAAACTTGTTAAACCGTCATTGACCAATGCAATTAAAGTATTCTACATGAAGGTAAGATAAACCGTTTTATCCCATCTCCCAGTAACTAATGCACACACAAGATTATTCTGCATACGGCATACACTCCCCCACAAAATAATCCCTCTCTTAGCCCCCTATAAACACATCTCAGTGCTCCCTATCTCGCTTGTGCATGATACTAAATTCAACCCACTCACACCTTTAGCATGCATGCACACACCAAATAAATGCTGAATACTAACATGTACTATCTAATACACACCCACAACTCTCCACACCACCATGTATCAAGTGCATAAGATTAAATGAAAGTGGCTCTTTGCCTAAAGAGGCGTTAGCATATCATTCTTTATCCAGTTTTAAATTTATACAATTTCAAATTATAAATCTACGTTTAAGTGAAGTTGTGAATTTTTGTGATCCTTAGCAAAGTGTAGTGGTATATGACAGCATTCATATTTTCTATGTTATTAATTTTATAACAATTACAAAAGGTGACTGAAGGATAATTCTGAACATTGGGTATTGATTTTTTATCTGTTGGTATTCTATGTTGTGGAGATATTGTTGAGATGAATTATCAATTATTGGTTATACCCTTACAATTATTAGTGTATACAACTGATAACATATACAACATGTAATCAGGTCTATCCACTACATTCTTTTTTGTGGATCTATTCAGTTACAATAATTGACTCAGTGGCCATGTACATTATGATCTTGAAAAACAGATATGGCATTTAGAACATGGACCAACATAATTTGCAAACAATATGCTGTGTTGGTAGGGCTGTCAAGTGATATTTCCATAGACAATATGCAGTGATCCACATCATATCATTACAGATGTACCAGTACCCCAAATCTGTTTTATTGCCTTTTGTTGTTGTTATTTCTCCATACATTCAGGTGTCTAATTCTCTTATCAGTAATGTAAACTCTGGTAGTGTGGTGCAAGTGAAAGACAATTTGATTGACTGTTTGGGTTTGATATCATTTTCTATATATACCAATGGCTCAAGCAAGTATGATGATCCTTCACTGAAGTGTCAAAATTGAGCATGACCATCTCCCTTGTGGACAGAGTGAGCAAGTGAGTTTAGTTTTACACCATTTTAAGCAATATTACCGGCATAACATGGTGGGGACACCAGAAAAACAGGCTTCACACATTGTACCCATGTGGGGAATCGAACAGTATTTGGCGTGACGAGTGAATGCTTACACCACTAGGCTACCCCACCACCATCTCCTTGTGAAGGGGAGACTGCAAGGTCCATGTGCATGTTCTGGGTGTGTTGGGGGTTGGTTGTAAGTTGTGGTTCCAAAACCATTCTATTTCTGGCAGGTCCTTTTCAATGCTGATCTTATTTCTGACAACCCATCATAACATTTATATTTCATGATTCTGTGTTATTTTAGAAAGTATATTTTGATCAATGTTGATTTTCTTCTGATGGAAAATACAGAAGAGAATGTATGAAAGTGTCTTAACTATTACATGTATTAACACTGGTATGTAAATTTTGATCATTTGTTACCAAACTCTATTCACTGTTTGTTCTGACAATATGTATTAATCTGATAAAAAGTTTTCACACTTTCGTAAAAGGGTAATGTGAATGAGATTATATGCTTTCTGTTGCTAGTACCCGTTAAATTAATGTTTGCGACTTGCAAGATGATGTTTCATTATATGTACACTATGGGGATTATCCTTTTAACAAATAAAGGTAAATGAATGAATTTTAACAAAACGTGAAAGGTTTTTCATGTTGAGAGCATACTTTCAGTTTCATGTTCATTCTGTGTATTGTTTCAATGAATTGTTACTGGTACATGGTGTATTTCTTCTTAGTAAGGGAAGTAGTGAGAGGTACAAGACATAGTAGAGACTGAAACAGAATTGATTGTACATTGTCTTTATAGTTATGTACTGGAGAACAGTTTTCACATTTTCACAACTGTAAATTCAAGCCCTGAATCATAATAATAATAATAATGTGACCATTTATATAGCGCCAAACACCACACACTAGGTATGCTCATAGTGCTAACAATCAAGGCACAGCACATTATTACCCCGGATGCTGCAAGGAATAGTTTTAGTTGGTATACCTGATAATTTAAACTGATATTTGCTTCTCCAGTTTACATAAAGAATTATTACTATTGTGGTGTTGTTTAAAACCTGAATGTTTTTGGTCAAATGTAAACTGATAGAAGTGTTGTTTCTCAATTCAGAGATGTTCATTTGTGATGTAGATATGTCTTAACTCACAGGTTTTAGAAAAACATTCCACAACATTAAAATAAATATCTCTTAACTGAAAGTGTTTGATGCTTTTATTACTTACATCAAGGGCGTGTAATTCAGGAAACTTTAGTTGCCTAATGCCAGCTCACAATGTGTCAACTTATTCTCTGAGAGAGAGTAGGTGGTGAGGTGAAACGGGTTTAACGTCATACTTAAAATATTTCCCTCATATGATGTATGTGTGCGTGGCTGCTTGTACTAGCCCAGTACAAAAATCTCATTGGCACCGCGAACAAACCTTTGCGACTGCGACCGCTGTCTTTGTTGACGCTGGCAAGCTCGGATGTAGCGGCGGCTTAGCTGATTGGCTACTGTGAGAAAGCAGAGCCAGCAAAGGGAGATGATATAATTAGAAGGTTTGTTAGCGGTGCCACACAGATTTGGGGAAATCATGCAGTCAAATAGACAGATCTGAAACTTTAAAACAAGAAAGAACTCCTTCTACCTCTGCATCAATTGTGTCCCTAAGTTTAAATGGTTAGATAATTTAAGAAGCGAAAGTGAGTTGTGATTGGTTCGCCCTACTTCCCAGCATGGACACCCGATTGGATAAAAAGCCAGCCATTCTTATCAGACAGTGGGTCTCACTTCTGATGTTATGGTCCACAAGAATTAGGTTTTGGTGGTAGTAGTAAGACCTGTTACTTTAAAGGGGAAGTGTACACGATAAAATCACATTTATTCTTATGTGAACCAAAGTGAAATATTTTAATTATTTAATATCACTGTTTGAGATGATACTCTCATTTTTCTTACAATGACAGTAAAACCCTCAAAATAAGTGCTGAAATGTTATGCCATTATGCGGCCCTAAATGCCGAGCTAAACAGGTCAGAGTTACTGCCCTTTGATTATGACGTAATTGGTGCCACTTGATTTTAGACTGGTCTCCTGTCTAGTCCCAAATCAAAAAATAATAATACTGAAATTAATCACGTGAGAAAAGTTTGTGAAAATACGAAAGAAGCATAAGAACTGAAAATGTAATCAGCAGGACAGATTGATAATGTGTATTTTCATTCATAGCCTCACCTCAATGAAAATACTAAATATGTTTAACAATGTTGACGTACGTATGACATCACTATCGGGAAGTGACACTCTCAAAATGGCGTGTACACGAGTACACCGGATTTTTCGACGGAAAATTTCGTTGTTTCAAGCAACGTATATACATAAATGTGACATGTAAGTAGTCCGAAACATTCTGACAATCTGCTGGTTGTTATTTTCCTTTTGTTTTCATTGTGACCAGGGGTGGAGAATTTCCATCGTGGGTGTTCGTGAGTTTGCGTCAATCATGGCGTCACGCTTTCAGAAACTACAATATGTTGTGATGAATCTCGGAAATCATTGGAATACACCTATTTTGTATAACTACCGCTTGCTACTATACCATTCCCGTGCATGGTATAAAACTAATGAGCAAGTGTATGAAACAAAAGTAGGCGAACAGATACACAGTGTAAAATCTGAGATTGACTTTGTTTACATTTCAAACAAGTGGTCCTTTCCCAGCGCGGCATCTGATTTATTTCGTTAGATTTCACTGAAACACTTGGTATTGGTGACAAAGACCATTTGTCATTATATTTTGAACTGTATGTGGAATTCTGGGATTAGTGTAAGTGCACGTGTGACGTTATTTTATAAACACTCTGCAATATGGCTGAAAATTCACTTTGACGTTAACTGCGTATTTTCAAAAACATTCTCAGCGATTCTCTAGCTTTTGTATCGACAATGTTTCCGAACGAGCATTGGTGATTCGAATAAATTTTTTTTTTAAAATATCGCTGATCACAATGATACGGGTTCTTGGGTGTTTTTTTTTGTCTCTTAAATTCAATTCTCCCAGCAAAATTTGACATTTGAATTATGACATCAATACTATAAATTACGAAAACACAGTGAATGGGGATTTCGTAATCTGTCCAAATTGGTCAGATTTACGATGCATGTAATTTTCAATATACATGTATTTGCCTTACAATGGGCGTCATAGAAATGGTATCATAGAAAAACGAATTTCAAACAGAATTAACAACTGCCACTTTCATTTATCTTCGTGATGTATTTGGATAATTGTGGTATCGATAGGTAGGAAGAGTGGATATATGCAGGAATTAAGTAACAAACGTAGAATGCCGACACATTCACCGATGGCAAGCTAGGTGTAGTGCATAAACGCTTTAGTTTTTGTGAAAAACGATACTGTTGAATGACTACCGACTCAGGTTGAATGTTGTAGTATTTGGTTACGTGGTAACACTGTTTGTACAATGTATACGTTTTTTTGTATACAACTGCAACGTCATCACACTGTGCAACTGATCACATAGCCAGCTGACGGCCAGCTGGATTAAAACAGTAGCCTGCGCATCGAGACACTAGAACCACACCTATATCTTCGCCACGTGAAATGTGTCTAACAACGTCATTAGTTTATCGGTTTGGCACCAATGACGTCATTTCCAAGGGACGTAAGCCATGGTGTGTTTACTGTGGCCAGTATAATCGATATAACGCAAAAAATAAACTAGTTACTTCTGATATTTGTACTGTTTTGTCTATAAAACTACTTGACAAACACGTTTTATGATGAGAAATTGCAAGACAAAAAGGTTAATTTTCGTGTAAACTTGCCCTTTAATTACTTCTCTGAGGTCTAAATACACCATATGGTTTCCCTAAGGTTAGTGTTTAACTGAATATGTGAACCTGGTCTCCTTAAGGCTTGAATTCAACTACTGGTATATATGCCTGTATTGGTGTAATCAAAAGCAAGTTCAAATGATTCATAGCGAGCGAGTGTGCGTACTGATTCAAGCCTGGCACCTTTAACTCACTGATAGCACTACATGTTGATGAAAATCATGAAGAATGTCATTCCATATCCGAGGAACGGTTCCTGCAGCATTGCTGGATGGTTCTGTTGACACTGCAAACATCATTCCATTTTCTTCCAGAGGCGTTCAGTAGGTGACAAATCAAAGCATGCTGTTGGCCAGGAAAACACATTGAGAACTACTGTCCCTAATGCTGGTCTTTGAATATATATATACCATCTGGTCCCCGTCCCCTAATGCTGTTTTTTTTAACCGCAAAAGAAACGCACGTTACTATTTTCAAACATACGTTCCAAATGTATTCCTTTTAGGACAACAAAGTATACCATCAAAGAACCAAGCATTCGAAGACGGTTTTGCCATTGTTGCTGCTGATTCTTGACCATATTGCCCAAACGCAATCATTTTCATGTTTTTAGTGTTTTTTGCATAAAGTTTTTGTGTTGCACACAAAAATGCGTGCATTCACTCAATTTGAAGCTTTATAAGGCAGGTCATTCAAAAAACACCATAGAACACAAAATTGACTGTGATAACGTGGAGAAAACATGCCACGTCCAACTGAACAGCAAAGAGGAATCGCTGTTGGAATGTTGCAGACAGGATCCACACCAACTGCAGTGGCCAGGCACTTCAGATGTCACGTGACAACAATCACAAGACTATCCACAAGGTATCGTCAAACCGGGGAGGTGGAAGTCTCATGGTAAGGGCTGTCTTCAGCTACCACCACAGAACACGGTTACACGTGTTTCGTCAACGTGTGACTGCTGTAGTCTACAGAGACCAGGTCCTTCAACACCACGTTGTACCGCTATTCCAGGCCCAACCCTAGCTCCAGACGTTCCAGCAGGACAATGCTCGTCCTCACACTGCACGGGTCTCTACGGACTTCCTCAGAGGGAACAACATTGCTGTACTGCCCTGGCCCTCTCTGTCCCCGGATATGGCACCAATCGAGCATGTGTGGGATGAAATTGGTAGACGGATACAGACAGCTGCTCAACCTCAAAACCTTAGAGATTTGGAAGCCAGATTGGTCAGGGAATGGAATCAAATTCCCCAAGCCTTCTTTCAGACACTTGTTGACTCGATGAGACGTCGTTGTGCTGCCTGCATTGCAGCCAATGGTTGTCACACGCGCTACTGATTGACACACTGTTTCGTGACATTTTTGGTGTGTGAGGGTGGAGTGATAACATATGCTTTTACAGTAATCTTGCGTGTTGTTTTCACCAGAGACCACGATTCATTTCTTCAACAATCACTTGTCTGTTGTTTTTTTCGTAGTGTTAAGATTGTTTGTTCCACAGATTCAGAAATATTGACATTTCTACATCAACTTCTGTTTCTTTTGCGGTTCAGTATATATACCATCTATTCCCCCTAATGCTGGTCTTTGAATAGATATACCATCTGGTCTCCCTAACGCTGGTTTTTAAATATATATACCATCTGGTCGCCCTAATGCTGGTTTTAAAATATATATACCATGTGGTCCCCCTAACGCTGGTTTTTAAATATATATACCATCTGGTCGCCCTAATTCTGGTTTTTAAATATATATACCATCTGGTGCCCCTAGTGCTGGTTTTTAAATAGATATACCATCTGGTCCCCCTAAAGCTGTTTTTTAAATATATATACCATCTGGTCTCCCTAAAGCTGGTCTTTAAATATATATACCATCTATTCTCCCTAATGCTGGTCTTTGAATATATATGCCATCTGGTCGCCCTAATGGTGGTTTTTAGATATATATACCATCTAGTCGCCCTAATGTTGGTTTTAAAACATATATACCATCCGGTCCCCCCTAATGGTGGTTTGTAAATATATATACCATCTGGTCTCCCTAATGCTGGTTTTAAAATATATATACCATCTGGTCCCCTAATGCTGGTTTTAAATATATATACCATCTGGTCCCCTAATCCTGGTTTTGGACATATATATACCATCTAGTCGTCCTAATGCTGGTTTTAAATATATATACCATCTGGTCGCCCTAATGCTGGTTTTAAATATATATACCATCTGGTCGCCCTAATGCTGGTTTTAAAATATATATACCATCTGGTCGCCCTAATGCTGGTTTTAAATATATATACCATCTGGTCTCCCTAATGCTGGTTTTAAATATATATACCATCTGGTCGCCCTAATGCTGGTTTTAATATATATATACCATCTGGTCGCCCTAATGCTGGTTTTAAATATATATACCATCTGGTCGCCCTAATGCTGGTTTTAAATATATATACCATCTGGTCGCCCTAATGCTGGTTTTAAATATATATACCATCTGGTCGCCCTAATGCTGGTTTTTAAATAAATATATATACCATCTGGTCGCCCTAATGCTGGTTTTTTAAATATATATACCATCTGGTCCCCTAATGCTGATTTTTTAAATATATATGCCATCTGGTCCCCCTAATGCTGGTTTTTAAATATATATACCATCTGGTCTCCCTAATGCTTATTTTAAAATATATATACCATCTGGTCCCCCTAATGCTGGTTTTAAAATATATATATACCATCTGGTCGCCCTAATGCTGGTTTTTAAATATATATACCATCTGGTCGCCCTAATGCTGGTTTTTGAATATATATATACCATCTGGTCGCCCTAATGCTGGTTTTTAAATATATATACCATCTGGTCGCCCTAATGCTGGTTTTAAATATATATACCATCTGGTCCCCTAATGCTGGTTTTAAAATATATATACCATCTGGTCCCCCTAATGCTGGTTTTTAAATATATATACCATCTGGTCCCCCTAATCCTGGTTTTTGGACATATATATACCATCTAGACGTCCTAATGCTGGTTTTTAAATATATATACCATCTGGTCGCCCTAATGCTGGTTTTTAAATATATATACCATCTGGTCGCCCTAATGCTGGTTTTTAAATATATATACCATCTGGTCGCCCTAATGCTGGTTTTTAAATATATATACCATCTGGTCTCCCTAATGCTGGTTTTTAAATATATATACCATCTGGTCCCCCTAATGCTGGTTTTAATATATATATACCATCTGGTCGCCCTAATGCTGGTTTTTAAATATATATACCATCTGGTCGCCCTAATGCTGGTTTTTAAATATATATACCATCTGGTCGCCCTAATGCTGGTTTTTAAATACATATACCATCTGGTCGCCCTAATGCTGGTTTTTAAATATATATACCATCTGGTCGCCCTAATGCTGGTTTTAAATATATATACCATCTGGTCGCCCTAATGCTGGTTTTAAATATATATACCATCTGGTCCCCTAATGCTGATTTTTAAATATATATACCATCTGGTCTCCCTAATGCTGGTTTTAAAATATATATACCATCTGGTCCCCCTAATGCTGGTTTTAATATATATATATATCCATCTGGTCCCCCTAATGCTGGTTTTTAAATATATATACCATCTGGTCGCCCTAATGCTGTTTTTTTAATATATATATACCATCTGGTCGCCCTAATGCTGGTTTTAAATATATATACCCATCTGGTCCCCTAATGCTGGTTTTAAATATATATACCATCTGGTCCCCTAATGCTGGTTTTTAAATATATATACCATCTGGTCTCCCTAATGCTGGTTTTAAATATATATATACCATCTGGTCCCCTAATGCTGGGTTTTAAATATATATACCATCTGGTCATATATATATATACCATCTGGTCCCTAATGCTGGTTTTAAATATATATACCATCTGGTCGCCCTAATGCTGGTTTTTAAATATATATACCATCTGGTCCCCCTAATGCTGGTTTTAAATATATATACCATCTGGTCCCCCTAATGCTGGTTTTTAAATATATATACCATCTGGTCCCCTAATGCTGGTTTTAAATATATATACCATCTGGTCGCCCTAATGCTGGTTTTTGAAATATATATACCATCTGGTCCCCCTAATGCTGGTTTTAAATATATATACCCATCTGGTCCCCTAATGCTGGTTTTAAAATATATATA